ATATTTTTTATTAAATCCATATTATTAAGTTATTTTGATTTGTTCCTTTTATAATTTAAAATAATGTTAAAGAAGAAACTGATTCAACTCTATCATTCTAATATCTTTTTTCGATTACTTTCTCACTGATTGTTAAATAGGTTTTTATTTATTTTGAATAAGAAGAAAATAAAAGAATAAAATCAAAATGATTCTTCAATTAAAATCCAATCAACATGATGATTGATAATAATCCAATGATGACAATTGGATTACTTCCATCTGTTGATATTTCTTCACTTTGACTTTTTTCATCAGACTCACTATACACTTCATTGTTAGGTGTTGGAACACCTTCAGCTTCAAGAGTCATAGCATTAATTTTGAATGTAATTGGTTCATCTGTTGTTTCTATTCTTTGTATGGAGAATGTTTGTAATGTATTTTTTTCATCTTCATAACTTAATGGAACATAAACTTTAGTAGCAATTCCAGATTTAACTATATAGTCATATGGTTTCAATTCAGTTTCTGTTTGTTGGTTGTAGGCAGATGAGAATAAACGTGTTCTAAATCTCATTGTTTTAACTTGATCTGATTTGAAATATATTTCATATGAAAAGAAATTTGAAGCAGAAGTGTCAATACTTGTTGTTCTTTGTACATAAATAGTATCCCAGCAACGAAGTTTTGCACTTAAGTAGTTTGTTGTTGAATTTTTACTTAATTCAATATTTCTATTGATCAACTTCTTTTTATTCTTCCTTCAATTCTATTGAAGTTCAGATAATAATTAATAATAAAACAAACAATCCAGCTGTATTAAATATTGCCCATGAGTCAAAGAAGCTTTTTCCATCAAATATAAGATATGCATTACTAAGAGTAAATAAACACAATACAAATAACATTCAATGTTTTTCTTTTTTCGTTCGTTCCATTTAAATGATTCACATATCATCATCTCAAAACTAATATCTCTTCGTTTTGTTATTTTAATGTTATTTTCTGATTATTTTAATGATTATTCTATTGAATGAGTGAAATAATAACATTTAGATATTAGTATTATTCACTTTCTATTGAAATAATTTGATTAGTTTTACATTCAAATATCATAGCTTTATTTCTGAAAAGTATTATTGTATCTATTCTTATGTTGAGTCATATATTTCTCAAAACTACAGTTATATTAATTCTACATTGAGTCAATGAAATATCTCTGTTTTATATTTGAACATTTATAGAATAAGAAGTTATTTATAAATAAAACATCAAATTCTACTAATAGTATTATTATTTATACTCGTTGAAATATTGATGTCATTTTTTCATAATCACATCAATAGACAATTGTTTCTTGATTATTTGAACTTTTTCTAAATAAATGGTTGTGACAATGAAAGTTTTAGTATCAAAATTGCTTCCTTTTTGTTATTAAATTTTATCAGTGTTAATATACTTTGTATAATAATTTGCACATGAAAATTAATGTATAACATAAATAGAAAAAGTTGTTATAACCTTTTAATGTGTTCAGTATTATAATAGATGACAATATTATATCATCTATTTAACATATTATATATAATACAATTATTAATAGTTATTCTTTTTATCTATTATGGTTATAATGAAAAAATAAGAAAATAGTTCTTTATTATTTTAAACAAGAATATATTTTGAATGGAATATTTTATAAGAAGTAAAATGAAAATATAGTATCAAGAATATAGTTAACAAAAATAGAAATAAAACGAATAATAGAATAGATAATATACAAAAAAAGATAATAGGTCAACTAAACAATATGTTTACAACAATTTATTATAAGAGGGATATAATATAATTTACTTTGAATTTGTAATAACCATTTTATATTAAAGCAATGTAATATAGAATAAAGAATAGTATACTACAAATATCATAAAGAAGATAATAATGATATAAAATGATGATATGATTTAAATATAACAAAATTGTAGTCTCTAAAAATAAAAGAATAAGAAATTAAGAAAGAGCTAATAAAAGAAGTATTTAAAAGAAATACTCAAAGAAACAATAATGTAGTAACATAAAGAAGTATTAAATAGGAATAATATATTATGATGAAGAAATGCTATATATATTTATATAATTGATATTTTATAATATATAAATATAATAGAGTGACACATAATCGATATGGAAATTGAAAGATAATGAATTTTATTAGAAAGAATGTTTTTTAAGTATTTAATGAAGAAAAAGAAAATTATTATGAAAAGTTATAGGATTTAAAATAAATAAAAAATAGATTAAGGTTTTATCAAAGAAATAACAATTAATGAAAATTATTAAAGAGAAGATAATTAATTATACATTTAATAAAAAAGAAGTAATGAAAAGAATGGTTTAAATCTTTTGGAGATTTAATGTGTGTTCAACAACAATAAAAGAATGTAAAGTGTTTTTGAATGATATTTTTAATAAGAAAATATATATAAAAGGTATATTCATTGTGAAAGAAGTTATTATTCAAATCAAACAGTAAGTATTTTTTTTGTTATAGAAAATAAGACTCAAATCAGTAAAATAAATGATGGTAATTTCGTGTTTACATACCAAAGATGTTATAAATATATTCAAAAAGAAGAATTTTTCAGTATAATGAAGAATATATGAGTTAGAATAAAAAATGAATAAAGTGTTAAAAAGGAGGTATAGTTCTAAAGAAATAATATGTCGAAAAGGTAAAAATAACGAATTATGTACAATTTATTCAAATAATTATTTTCTTAAATACTATTTCTTCCAGATAAAATGGAACATATATTGAATATAAATTAAGTTAATGTTATTCATATTAGTTTCTTTTTGAAATTTCTTTTTAATTCAAAGAATGTATAAGAAAATAAGGTTTAATAAACTTATTTAGTTTATCTGAAGTATAAAACATAAATTCAAAATAAATAATAATAAGACATTTCTTTAATAAACCAACTAATTTGAGTTATTTGTTTCTGAAATTGAGTAAACAAGAAAATAATGGATATTGCTAATACTAAAAAAATGTTCATTAACATAGTTTTATTATTATCATTCAAGTTTTTGTAAAGAATAATATAACAGTGAGAATACCATTGTAAATTTATTATTTGTTACGATATGATTTGGTTATTGATTATAACCTTATTGTATTATAAAAGTTAATATCATATTTCTTTATCAACAACGTCTGTGAAAAATTCTTAATTTATAAATATTATTATTGTTTTTATTTTTAATTAGAGAGGTTTTATTGAAGCCATGAATGAAGTGTGAAGTGTATATAGTATAACCAGTTTCTAGGAAAATAAATAAAGAAAAGGAATATTAAAATGATAATATTAAGAATAATAAGTTATAAACTCTTAAATAATTTCATTCATCAATTTGACTTATTAAGATAATGGTGATGCTTTTCAAAGTTTTTGTTAAATTCTAAAAAGTTAATTAAATGAAAGACAAAATTAAACTACTTGCTTAAATCTCTTTTACCCCAACTGGGAATGAAATTCCTGTGCAAATACCACATTGATTATTCTTATTTCTGGACATTAAAATATAACCATCCATTCCCCAAAAACTTCCCCATGAATTTTTTACAATGTAATAATCTTGACCATCTTGAGATCCATATCCAACAGCAGCAACACAATGGTTCATTATTTTCTTACATTTTGGTTCATCATAAACTCCTGATTTATATAATTGGAAAGATATTTGACTTGCATCAATACAAACACCAACAGGAGCTTCAGCAATAGCAGCAGTGAGAGCAGCATCACTAATATCAGCAGTTCTAAGTCCTTCAATAGAAACTTTTATTTTTGTCTTGTCATATAAACATTTTCACATCTTTGCCAGTATAAGGA